TGTACGTCGGTCAACAGCTCCGGCCAGTAATAGTACCGCTGCAGTTGCTGTCGTGTTTTTTCTACCCCGAAATGTCCCGAGGTAATCCCGTCGTGTGCCTCCTGCAGCAGCAGCTCCCTCAGTAGTGAGTACGCGGGTACCCAAATGCGGTTGGTGCCTGTTTTTACGTAATAAACTCCTTTTGCTTCTGCCAGTTGCTGTGAATTTCCGGTCGTGAAAAATGGGTCGGTGCGGTATCCGTGGGTGAATAGGCCAGTTAAAAGCGGGTTGGTCTGGGCGAGTAGGATGGCGTGGAGTTGGGCGGTGGGGCGGGTGAGAGCGTCGGCGATGTTGGATGCTCCTTTTTTGTACGTGACGGTGTAGTGAAAATTGGACTCGAGATAGTCCAACCAGCGAATCTGTCGTGGGTTGAGATTCGGTTGGGCGCGAAGGTACTGTAGCGAGCGGTGGTCTGTCCGTACTGTCACGTCGGCACCAGTCAGGTAACATCGCCAAACTTTGAACGCGTGCACGATCGCTAGCATCTCGCGGTCGTGTATCGGGTAGTTACGTTCGGGCGGGTGTAACTTGCGGGACTCGTACGCGATTGGCTGGAGGCCATTCCCGAAATCCTGCAACAGTACTGCTCCCACAGCGATGTCACTTGCGTCGGTGACGAGCTCGAACGGACGGTGGGGATCTGCAATGTGAAGGACGGGCGGGGAGCACAAAATATTTTTGAGGGCCGAGAAGGCAGCTTGCTCTTTCTCCCCCCACGTGTACTCAACCCCCTTCCTCAGCAGGTCAGTCAACGGGGCAGTCAGTTTCGCCATGTCGGGGACGAACCGGCGCACGTAGTTGACGAACCCCAGGAAACTCTGCAACTCGGTCAAGTTGGTCGGCGCGTGCCAAGCCTGAATCGTCGCAATTTTCTTCGGGTCTATTTCCACTCCTGCAGCTGAAATAACATGTCCCAAAAACTCCAGGCGGTCCTGTAAAAACTCACACTTAGATGCTTTGGTCAGTAGGCGGTTCTCACTCAGGATTTTAAAAACTGCTTCGATGTCTTGTAAGTGCTGTGCTCTGTCAGGGCTGTAAATCAGTATGTCGTCCAGATAAACGATGACGCACTTATCTAAAAGCGGGCGGAATGCTTCGTTCATGGTCATTTGGAAAGTGGCGGGGGCGTTGGTCAGTCCGAATGGCATGACGGTGTATTCGAAGGATCCGTAGCGTGTTCGGAATGCGGTTTTAGGGCAGTCGGGTGGGTTGACGCGGATTTGGTGGTATCCTCCTCGGAGGTCGATTTTCGAGAAAACCCGGGCTGTGCGCAGTTGGTCGATCAGTTCGTCGGCTCGTGGGATGGGGTAACGGGATTTGATGGTAACCCTGTTCAGTGCCCTGTAGTCGATGCACATGCGAAAACCCCCGTCCTTTTTCGGTGTGAACAGTATTGGTGCGGCGAAAGGCGACGAACTAGGGCGAATGAATTCCTTTTCTAGCAGGTAATCGAGCTGCTTCCTTAGTTCGTCTAATTCGGGTTGGGTCAGTCGGAACTGTCGCTGTACTGTTGGCTGTGCCCCCGGTTCCAGTTCTATCCTGTGATCGTGCGGTCGCTGAGGTGGCAGTCCCGTCGGCAGGTCATCCGGGAAAATGTCACTGTACTGTTGTAACAGTGCCGCCAGGTCACTCGGTACGTCGGTCAGCAGTTTCTGTAAATCGCCTCCCTTGTCTGCTGCCTCGGCTTCCCGAATGTCAACCGCGTACACGTCGGCTCCGGCCGCAACAGCGCGTTTCATCGTGATCGCGTTGACACGCACCGACGAAGACTCAGGCGAGCCCCAGCGAGGTAAGGCGATGCTGTTACCGTTCACTCGCACGGTGCAGTCACCCGTCGTCCAGTCAATTCGCGGGTTGTGTCGTCGCAGCCAATCACGCCCGAGTAAAATGTCGGTTCCGTCGAGGGTCGTTGCGAGCATTTCCTGACTAAACGTGAAGTTACCCCCGCATCGAATCCGAACTCGGTCTACGCGTTCCCGTATTGCCAGCGGCGTGCCGTCTACCAGTCGTGCGTCGATCTCAGGTAAGCATCGGTCCAGTGGCAGTCGCAGTTTTCGTGCTGTAGCAGTGTTAATGAGGCTGTGGCTGGCTCCCCCATCTACGAAGATTTTAACTAAGTCCGTCCCAATTTTCCCACTGAGCAGTATAGGGCTATCTACCGTGGTACCCTCCTTATTCGGCCGGGTGTGGTCGATTGCGTGAACCGGCACAATCACTCGGTGAGGGTCGGTTGGGTCGGGCGAGCGGCGTGACCTGTCAGTAGAGGGCCCGTCTGCTACTGACTTCCAGCGTTTCCCTGCTGCTTGGTCTGTGTCTGCTGCTCAGCTTCCCCCTTTCCCTTAGCGTTTTCCGGGCATTCGCTCTTGCGATGTCCCGGCCGATTGCACGCAAAGCAGCGCCCTTTGAACGGTGCGGCAGCGGCATTTGCGGCGACGGCGCGTATCGTGGCGCTCTCGTTCGTCCCACGAGGCCGATGTCCCCAGGTGTTGTTTCCGTAGGACCCCGGTCTCGGTCGGCGAAAGAAGTCGAGCTTCTCCGCCATAGCGAGAATTTCCTGAAACTCAATGACGCCGCGAAGCTGGATTTCCTGAGCGATGTCCTGCTTCAGGCCGCCGATGTAGCGGTCGATGCGTTCGCTCTCATGCATGTAGCCCACCTGCTCGCATAGCGCCAGAAATCCGCTCGTGTAATCCTGGACGGAACCGAGTTGGCGCCAAGTGCGGAGCTTCTGTCGCGCCGAGATCGAGGCCGCGATTGGCTCAAATCGAGCGCGCAGACCTGCGCACCACGCGTCCCACGTGCGATACTGGGGCACCTCCACGAAATACGACGGCGCCCAGGGTCCGGTTTGTCCTTCCCGTGTCGGTAGTGTCGCGTAGTCGGTCGGCTTCGTGACGATGACGCGCCACCAGTCCATGGCGGGTCCTCGCAGCAACGACACGGCGTATCGAATCTTCGCCGAGTCCTCCGAGACGTAGTTGGCGTCGAAGAAAACATTCATTGTGAATAACCACGCCTGAACGGTAGGACCACCCCGTTGACTCGGGTCAAAGCATGGCGGGCGCTGCGGTTTCAGCGGCATCGGTGACGGCAGTCCCGAATCGTGGGTTGGTGCCGAAATCGTGACGCGAGGCTGACTTGGGGCCGCAGGCGTCGCTCTGGGGTGTGTCGTGCCGTGGTCGTCGTCTCCGTCGGGGCGGACGACGCCATCACTGGCCGCGCTCGCGGGTTGCCCCACACTCCCGTGTTGTGATGTTGAGGGTGCAGGTTGAATCGGAGTGCCAGGTGCTTGGGATTGTGCTCTCATGAGGTCATTTTGCAGTGATGAGCGTTCTGCCGTCAATGCCGCGATTTCCTCGGAGCTTTCGTGCAGTTGTCGCAGCAGATCGTTCAAACGCTCCTGCGTGAGAGTGGTGACGTCGATGTTTTCGGCCATGACGAAGGGCGTCGGCTCGTCTTAGTCTAGGCGCAGTCGTGGCTGCACGCGTTTACGAGAGAACGCGAGGACAGCGGCTCCTAGGGGCTAAGGTGCGTGAGTCCCTTCGAGTGAAAAATCAAAAGTTGATTTCCTGGTGTGCGGAGATGCGCGGTCCGAAAGAAAGGGGCTCTGATAACCAAGTGTTACGGGTGCAATGAATCGAGGTAGCGAGAATTGCACTAAGGTGTCAAACGAGTACAAAATGTGAGCGAAGGCATGAGCGAGCATTTATACGCGAAACATGCAAAACGGTAACGCGGTGCGTGCGAACTTGCTAGTGCTACGCTGGAGCGAGGCTCGGGCTAGTCCCGAAGCGTAGGCCGATACGGCCATGCCAGCAGTGCGAGGTTTGGCAAAACAGTGCGCGCGAAGTCGGCGAAGTTCCGTTAGCAGTAACGGGCGAACAGTCGGCTGTTGCTGTACGCGATGTAGTCGGCCCCGTAAGGAATGCCTGAGAAAATTCCTTACAGGCACACACATAAACCGATACCATGTTATTCAGCCTGCAAAATAATCATTTCGGCCTTGTACAGAGTAGCGAATCTTCCTCAAACTCGCCCAATTTCCGCAATCGTTCGTGTACCAGTGGAATCTTGTTCCAAGACATGCACTATGTTACAGAGCTCCTCGATAGGTTTTCGTGTCCAGCAGCAGCAGCTTTGCATTTCGTTGTCCAATCTCGCGGTGCTCGCAGCGCCTACTTCGCCACACTGGAGGATGCGCAATGCGATGCACGTGTGTACGACCCATTTCCTCGAGGCGCCACCTAAACTCTCAACTCCACTCCACTAAGAATTGGCGAAATTGCAAATTCGCCTGAAGATTTGCAGTTAGCGGCCGCTACAACCAATTCACACCCTAAGGGCGCATTCCGCTCTGGACATGTCCCGATCGTACATGTCCCAATCGATTCCACCGCTCCGAACCAAACTAAACCAGAGACGCGAAAAAAATTGACAATGTTTGAAACTAGGGTTGAATTCGATGTAATTAGATGCAGTGCGGTGAAATCGATTGGGACATGTACGATTGGGACGTGTCCACAGCGGAATGCGCCCTAGGTCATGGATGCGTGTCCGCTTGCCATAATCCCCCCTCTTGCGCAAACCTACCTATCAGTAACTCCATCGGCATAGAATACAGTTGGTTGGGATTGGGAGTCTAAGGACTCCCAGCTGGACGGATTCCGCAAGACGGCTCATCTCGAGTCGGGCAATCCACTCTGCGCGAGCATCCCTTCCAGCCCCATACACGTTCAAACCTGCCCCCCACCGCCGCCCTTCCCAGTCGGATGGGTCTAGGTCAGACGGCTCGTCTCGAATCGGCAAACAACTCTGCGGTGAGTAATCCGCGGGGTAGCTCTGTCAAAAGAAAGGCTTTCCTCCGTGTTTGAAAGTAGTACTGTCTCACGCCGCGATTTACAGCTTGGAGTTGAATTGCGCTTATTCTAGAGTTCCCCGCCTCGCCGGGACATGATCCGCCAATGTCAGTCATTGCGTTCCTCGCGCTTCTCGCCTCCGCCCGCCGCGCTTGCCCCCGCTTCCCCCCCCTGCTCTCACTGCTCCTCCCGCTCCTCGCGCTGCTCCTCACGGCGCCGCCCCGCCCTCTGTGCGCGGCGGAACGAGGGAAGCGCGTAGAATCCGCTAGTGCGACGCGCCTCGTCCTCCTGCGCAACAACACGCGCGGCGCGAAATGCCTCGACGGCAGGTGCGGCCGCCGGTGGAAGGAAAGGCGATTCTGCCATTGTCGTTCCGCCCGGCTACGATCCTTCCGCTGGTGGAAGGAAAGACGATTCCACCATTTTCATTCCGAATTTTTAGGCGCCTCAAAACTATTTCTGAAGCGCCTCAAGAATCGAGTCCGCCATTGTCGTTCCGCGCGGCTACGATCATCAAACGCTAAAATGGAAACCTAATTCCATTGCAATTACGATCATTCCACCGACAGGAGGGACATGATTCTTTGTGAATGGGTTGATGAGCGCCGAACATGAAAACCTAAACCCTCTCATCCCCACTTTCCCCCACCCTCGCGCGTGTACCTCACAAGGAATCCCCAGGGTGCCTTGCATATTTCTCTCTACCTTTCCTCCCATCCTTCCTCTTTCCCCTTTCCCTCTTTCCGCAAGCCCCCCCGCGTACTACTTCCGCGCGGGGAGGGGCGCGGGGAGGCGCAAGTGGCACGTGTATCTCCCCACGGGCGGATGGTGCTTCTCCCCGCGCGACTGCCTCGATCGCGCTAACTCTAGCCTCGGCTCCTCGCGCTTCTGGGCCACACGCCTCCCCGCCATCGTTGAAAACGGCGGAGCAGTGACGAATGTGAGTTTTCTCGCTCCCTGACTTGCTCCCATTTCGTTTCTCAAACGCCCTCTCTCATGCCTCTTTTCTCATGTCTTGCCTTCTGTTTCCTCGCTGCTCTTTGCCCTCCCCTTCCCTCCACACCGCAACCCACCGTCGTTTCCTGCCTCAAAAGGAAATGTCTGAGGAGCCTTGAGAAGACGTTTCATAACACCCCACCCAACCACATCCCATCCCACCTCACCACCCCCCACCCCACCCAACTGTACCCTACCCTTTCACCAGGCTAAGGTCTCCTACCCTCAACTGGGCGGCTTGCTCTCCCGCAGCAAGAGAGCCAACCCGGTGTTCCACGGGTGGAACCTGGTGTGGGTGGTGTACTGTGATGGTGGCGCCTACAGCAGCACGCGGGGGAGGGCGGACCTGGGGGAGGGCGCATCTGTGAACATGAATGGGCGCGGGATCCTGGACGCGCTTTTTTATGGTCGGTTGGAGGAGGGTGGCTGGGGAAGGGTGGCTGGGGGAGGGCGACTGGGGGGAGGGTGGCTAGGGGGAAAAGCGAATGGCTGAGGGAATGGCTGAGGGGATAGGGGGAACGGCGGACTCAGGGGCGGACATATCTGCATAGGGGGAATTCGGAAGGGAAGAGGAAAATATTTGGGGTGGAAGGGAAGAAACCACACAGGCGGCATGATAAGAGCAGCGTTAAAAGATCCATGCTCTATCCACCCACACCACACACAGCCATCCAGCCATTCTCCCTCCCCGTCCTCTCCCATCCACCACAACCCATACGTGCTGCTGCGTCAACGACAGGATCACCTGCTGCTGGTCTGGCCCTTCCGAATCTGCTCTGTGCCCACCCCCTTGAGCTCATCCCTGTATGCCTCCCTCCCTCACACGTTAGCTCTCTGTCTCACCCCCCAGAAGATTTGCTCACATGGTGGAGGGGAGCATGGAGGTAGATTCTACATGGGGGTAGACCGCTGGCCTCCCACATTCTCGTGTATTTGAACTCGATTTGACACACTCCTCTCCTTTCTCTCTCTTTCACCCCCCCATGCCAGACCTGCGCATGAAGCGGGGCATGGGGGCGGCGTCGCATGTCCTCTTCTCAGGCAGCTCAGCGGGCGGCCATGCCATCATCATGCACTGCGACCGCCTCGCTGTTGCCTTTCCCCGCGCCAAAGCCACCTGCCTCGCTGACTCGGGCTTCTTTGTTGGTCAGTGCAGCGCTGTGTTATTTTTTGGTGAGCGAGCGCTTTGATTGTTGCTGATTGGCCCCTGTTGTCTGAAGTGTGGCTTGTGAGCAGGATTACTGTAGCGTCTGTAATAATACAGGGACGTAACTGTAATGATTTCTTGGCCTCTTTTACTCCCCTTCCCCTCTGCTCTGTTGCCGCCTGTCAGATGCCAAGGACCGCTTTGGGCACTACTACTGGCGAGAAAAGATTTTAGCGCTCACCGCTCTGCACCGCATCAACGTCCCCAACTGCCCAGCAGGTGAAAGCTATGCACCAGGCGATCCCCCGGGTGAAACTGGGACTATCTGGTATTTCTCAGGTGAAAACAGCACTGCCATGTATATCTCTGCTGTAAACGGGAATCATCAGGTAATCAAATGGCATGAAGCCGAGTAGCAGGTGATTACCATTATGAGCTTCCAGTATTAATTTCTTGAGTCGACTCATCATGATTTTTGAGTTGACTCAGGCTGACTTTTATACGACTCATCATCACACTTGAGTCAACTCAGAAGTCATCCTACCTCCCCCCACTCGTCCCCCCACCTTTCAGGAGCACATGTGAGGGACAACTGGGTCTGCTTCTTCCCCGGAAACACCCTCCCTCAGGTCACCACACCCCTCTTCCTCCTCCAGTTTCTCTTTGACCGCCGCTTAATCCGCCAGGAGAAGCAGCTGCCGGCAACCGATTTCCAGTATTCCACAGACTGTTTGAGCAAGCAGATTCTCCTGCCAAACGCCAGTGCCGTGGCTCGCAAGCATGCGTGGGGGGGACTCAATTGGAGCCCGTCTGTATGCTTGCCTCAGGAGGTCGACGTGGTATTCTCGATGGCTGCTGTGTCGTATAGGTTTTTGGCGGAAGCGGTACAGAGAAAGAGGAATTTGGGGGTGATGCTGGCCCCGGGGATGGGGCACGCGGTGGTGTTTTATTGGAGCTGGTTCAGGGCTTACATTGGAGCGCCGAAACTGAACAGGATATTCAATAGATGGTTTGTTGGCAGAAATAAAGGGTTGTTCCTGCATGAATAGGATCTGTATAATACGTGAGGCTAAATGGTGTGCATAATTTTTCTTAACCTGTTTTTCAGTCCTTATGTAAAGGCTAATTCTTACCCGTATTCCCCCGCATGTAGGATCTCGAGGACTTTCTTGAAGTTTGTTACAAGTGCAATTTGAGTGAACGAACGAGAATTGCACTATCGAAGCAAGAGTACAATGAGCGAAGGCATGAGCGAAGAATATATAGCGAAACTACAGTAGTAACGGTAATGATCGCGCGACGAGCCTGGGACTGAGGTTGGGAAAATGTCGAAGCGTAGGCCCAGAGCGCGGGTTACCAGCCGAGCCGTGAGGTCGGGATGCGATGTGCGAAATTGGCGGGATGATGAATGATGCGATGGTCGTGAGTGGTAACGGTGCTGACTGAGGTGCTACAGTGATGTACGCGTTGAGCAGGGATGCGAAGTAAGGAAAAGGGGATTTCCTTACACTACCCCCCCCCCTCCTAAGGAGGTCCTCCTTACGAGAGTGCGTGGACGTCTTTGAAGTTTCGGCTGCGCAGATATTCGGTGAGGACAGGGTGGTTTTCAATTCTGTCCAGGGGAACCCAGTTGTCCTCAGTGGGTGTACGGTCTTTCCATCGGAGCAAGAACTCGACTTTTCGAGCTCCTCGAGGGTCGCGAACTCTGTGGCTCAGGATCTTGTCGGGGGTGATGATGGGTTCGGTTGGCGGCCGTGCCATGCTGGATGGTCGATGTCGTGGGAGTTGGCTGGTGGATGGTACGTAAGGGCGAAGCAGGCTGACGTGGAACGAGGGGCTGACGTACCAGTCAGCAGGGAGGAGGAGGTGCGCGGTGACGGGTGTGATTATGTGGCTAATTCGAAACGGCCCACAGTATCGAGGGCGGAGTTTTGGAGTGATGGGCAGGCGGAGGTTTTGAATGTCGAGTAAAACGAGGTCGTCGGGCTGATAAGTGACGGGTCTGCGGTGGCGATCGGCGTTGCGTTTAGCGATGATATTTGATTTTTTTATTGCTTCTGCTGCCCTGGTCCGTGCTGCTTGCAAAATCTCGGCGAACTGTTGTACGCGTGGAACGGGATTGTCGGGGTTTGGGGTCATGGGTACTGCTGGGTCCTGTCCGTAGTTTAAGTAAAACGACGACTGTTGGGTCGTGGCAGATGGCGCGTTGTTGTATGCGAACTCGATGAGTGGCAGCTGCTGCTCCCACGTGTTTGGATCGTCGCACGTGGCTCGAATCAGCTGCTCCATGGTCTGGTTTGTCCGTTCTGTCTGTCCGTCGGTTTCGGGGTGATAGGATGAACTGAATTGAAGTCGCGTGCCGAACTGCTGCCACAGGTTCCGCCAGAAATTACTGGTAAACTTCGTGTCCCTGTCGCTGATGATTGACGCTGGTATCCCGTGCAGTCGAACGACGGTGGCGATGAAGAGTCGGGCTGTTTCCTCGGCTGTGATTGATTTCTTGCATGCTGCGAAATGTGCCATTTTCGTTAGTCGATCGACGACGACCAGGATCGCGTCATTCCCACTCGCCCCGGCCGGTAACCCCGTGACGAAGTCCATCGTCACCTGCTGCCAAGCACGCTCTAGAGGTGGGATTGGTTGTAATTGTCCTGCCGGCCGCTTCCTGGTTGACTTCATGAGTTGGCAAGTGGGACACGATGCCACGTGTCGTTGCACGTCGGTCAACATTTTCGGCCAGCAATAGTACCGTTGCAGCTGCTGCCGTGTTTTTTCTACTCCGAAATGTCCCAAGGTAACTCCGTCGTGTGCCTCCTGTAACAGTAGTTCCCGTAGTAGCGTGTACCCTGGTACCCAGATGCGGTCGGATCCAGCTTTTACGTAATAGGCTTCCTTGGCTGCTGCGAATTGCTGTGAATTTCCTCCTGTGAAGAATGGGTCTGTTTGATATCCGTGGGTACATAGTCTTGTCAGTAACGGGCTGGTCTGGGCGAGTAGTATCGCATGTATTTGGGCAGTGGGGCGGGTCAGTGAGTCGGCGATATTCGAGGCTCCTTTTTTATATGTGACCGTATAGTGGAAATTCGATTCGAGGAAGTCGAGCCACCGAATCTGTCGTGGGTTGAGGTGGGGCTGTGCGCGAAGGTACTGAGGGATCGATGGTCTGTCCGTACTGTCACGTCTGCGCCGGTCAAGTAGCAACGCCACACTTTGAATGCATGCACGATCGCGAGCATTTCGCGGTCGTGTATCGGGTAATTTCGCTCAGGTGGATGTAGCTTGCGTGATTCGTAGGCGATGGGTTGGAGGCCGTTGCCGAAGTCATGTAACAGTACGGCTCCGATGGCGATGTCACTCGCGTCTGTAACAACTTCGAAGGGGCGGTGTGGGTCAGCGATGCGTAGGACGGGTGGTGAACAGAGAACATTTTTCAGGGCAGAGAAGGCAGCATGCTCTTTCTCCCCCCACGTAAAAGGGACCCCCTTACGCAGTAAATCAGTGAGCGGGGCTGTTAAGCGGGCCATGGCGGGGACGAACCGACGAACGTAATTAACAAACCCTAAAAAACTCTGTAGTTCCGTGATGTTCGTCGGGGGATGCCACGCTTTTACGGTGTCCAGCTTCTTAGGGTCTATCTCAACCCCAGCCTCCGAAATGACGTGACCTAAAAACTCTAGCTTGTCCCGAAAAAACTCACACTTGGAGCCCTTGGTGAGTAACCGATGTGCCTCTAAAATTTTAAAAACTGCTTCGAGATCTACTAAGTGCTGCTGCTGGTCCCGACTGTAAACGAGGATGTCGTCGAGGTAAACTATGACGCACTTATCTAAAAGTGGCCTAAACGCCTCGTTCATGGTCATCTGAAATGTTGCAGGCGCGTTGGTCAGCCCGAAAGGCATCACCGTGTACTTGAATGACCCGTACCTAGTCCTAAATGCTGTCTTGGCGCAGTCCGATGGTTCGACCCGAATTTGATGGTAACCTCCCCGTAAATCTATTTTCGAAAATACTCGTGCGGTTCGCAGCTGGTCGATCAGTTCGTCGCCGCGGGGGATGGGGTATCGTGATTTTACTGTTACCCTGTTAAGCGCTCGGTAGTCGATGCACATGCGAAATCCCCCGTCTTTTTTCGGTGTGAACAGTATCGGTGCGGCGAACGGTGATGAGCTCGGTCGGATAAACTGCTTCTCTAACAGGTAATCTAACTGCTTCCTTAGCTCGTCGAGCTCGGGCTGTGTCAGTCGAAATTGGCGCTGTACAGTTGGCTGTGCCCCCGGTTCTAACTCGATCCTATGGTCATGCGCCCGTTGAGGTGGCAGCCCTTGTGGTAAGTCATCCGGAAAGATTCCCGGGAACCGTTTCAGTAGTGCCTGTAGTTCGGGTGGTACGGCTGCCAACAGTTTCTGCAAATCACTCGGCCGGTCCTCTTTTTCCACTAATGCGATATCCACTGCGTACACGTCAGCTCCAGCAGCGACAGCCCGTTTCATCGTGATGGCGTTGACCTGGACCGTCGAAGACTCGGGTGGCTGCCAGCGAGGTAGGACGACCTAGTTACCACTACTTCGCACTGTGCAGCTACCCGTCGTCCAGTCAATTCGTGGGTTATGCCATCGCAGCCAATCACGTCCCAATAAAATGTCGTGCCCATCCAGTGTCGTTGCGAGCATTTCCTGTGTAAACCCGAAGTTCCCTCCGCAGCGGACTTTTACTCTCTCCACCTTTTCCCGTATAGCCAGTGGCGTGCCATCGACTAAGCGTGCATCTATCTCAGGTAAGCATCGGTTAAGTGTTATCTGTAATTTCCGTGCGGTTGCGGTATTAACTAAGCTGTGACTTGCTCCTCCGTCAATAAAAATCTTCACTGCTGCTCCCTGTATTTTCCCGTAGATTAGTACCGGGCAATCCGTCGCTGTACCCTCCTTATTCATCCGAGCCCGATCGATGGCATGAATCGGTACTGTGACTCGGTGAGGGTCGGTGTGGTTGGGCGAGCAGGCAGTCTCGTCAGTAGTTGGCCCAACTTCTAATGACTGCTGGCGTTTCCCTGCCTCCGAGACTCCCTCCCCTGCTTTGCTCCTCGGCGCCTCAGCTCCTCTGGGCATTCGCTCTTGCGATGGCCCGGCCTGTTGCAAGCAAAGCAGCGCCCTTTAAACGGTGCGGCAGCTGCATTCGTTGCGACGGCGTGTGTCAGAACTTATAGCTTACTTGTTTCTGTAGGCTATAGTGGGGTATCCCATAGGGGGTACAACCCAATTAGGGTTTCCTATTTGTACTCACTTCGTTCATAGTCATTCCATTCTCGTTCTTTGTTTCCACATGGAATCAGAGCAGGTTCCCTCCTAGGGACTGCTTCTAGGGCCCACCGAACCGCGCCCCGAGGCGCGTTTTTTTTTTAGCGACCCGTCGTGTCGCCCCTAGCGGACCGTTGCGCCGCCCTTCCCCTCGCGGCTCCGCCGCCCTTCCCTAGCGGCCCCGCCGCCCTTCGATCGCGGCCCCGCCGCCCTCTGCTACGCGGCCCCGCCGCCGCCTTTCGATCGCGGCCCCGCCGCCCTCGGCTACGCGGCCCCGCCGCCCTCTGCCTCGCGGCCACGCCGCCCTCTACTACGCGGCCCCGCCGCCCTCTGCTACGCGGCCCCGCCGCCCTTCGATCGCGGCCCCGCCGCCCTCTGCTACGCGGCCTCGCCGCCCTCTGCTACGCGGCCCCGCCGCCCCCTGCTACGCGGCCCCGCCGCTCTCTTCGGTCGCGGCCCCGCCGCCCTCTGCTACGCGGCCCCGCCGCCCTCTGCTACGCGGCCCCGCCGCTCTCTTCGGTCGCGGCCCCGCCGCCACTCTGCTACGCGGCCCCACCGATCCGCCCAGCAGCAGCCGCCGCCGCCTGAGCCGCCGCCGAGCCGCCGCTGAGCCGTCGCCGAGCCGCCGCCGAGCCGCCGCCGAGCCGCCGCCGAGCCGCCGCCCGAGCCGCCGCCGAGCCGCCAGAGCCGCCGCCGAGCCGCCCGTGACGCCCGAGCCGCCCGCGCCGCCCAGCAGCAGCCGAGCCGCCGCCGAG